GATAAAGTAAGTACAGGGAAGAAAGATAAGGTCTCTGGAGTAAGGTAGATAGAACTTGATGACCAGGAAAGAAGGGTCTCCCAGGGAAGAGGCAGATTCAGCACTGATGTATGGACAGAGGAGATATGATGTTTTTAATAGAAATTATGTAATTCGAGTATAGTTATGTGGGGAGGACTTGAGTTGAGGCAATGGGAATTGTCTGGTAGGTATATATTCTAGACCAGTCAAGGGAGGTGGGCAGGATGAGGTGTAAGGAGGTGCGTTGACGAGGTGGCGGGGAATTCAGGGCATTTGAGGAGTCACAGGGGCTTTGTACGTTGGTTCAGAGGTAGAGGGCCTGAAAACTGAAGGTACAGGGGAAGAGGGCAGGGCAGACTCCAGAACGTGGAGTGTCCTGTTAGAGGAACATCTGACAATAACTGGCAACTGGGCACTTGTCCAAATATGATTCCCAATAAGGCATCAGTTTCACAAGGCTTTCTGTAAATTATTGCACGCCACCAATTGCCAGGTTCCCTGCTGACAGTGGGCCAGCGGTTAGACAATTCAATCAGGTGCCACCAGTTATAAATTGAAAATCAGTGGGGTGCAAAATGGATTACCATCAAAATCCATCCAGGTGAAAAACCAAATTTCAAAACCCCTAACCTTTAAAAACCACCCCCTTCCTGATTCTTCACAATGCTCCGACACTAGGTTTTTAATATCCCCCAGATAAGCAAACGTCAACAGAAACCTCAGGAGGTTGAAAGTGAGGTGTGAAGTAGTCCTAGCCAGCCTCCTTTTGGAAACTTGCAAATGTGGGAGGTTCTTGAATTAATGCCTTGAAAATTCTGTTAGATTCAAAAGAGCAATCCTCAAACTTAGGCAAGCACCACCTGGAAGGCTTTAATGTCTTAGCCAGGCTCTATCTTGAAATTTCTGTCTATCTGAGGTTTATATGCAAGAAGACCCCTTTCCAGCAAGTTCCTGTGGGGCGCTCATACTGCCGGCCCCGGTGCTACCGTTAAGGGTCTCTGCCCTAAGATGTAGGGACAGTTTGGCAACTTGACTACACAGCAAGCTGATTAGTAGTGACTTTAAATTTTTTCCTTTTTGAGATTATATTTATAATCACACCATTTCCCCCTTGCCTTTTCTTCCTCCAAACCCTCCCATATAACCCTCTTTACTTTCTTTAAAATTCATGGCCTCTTTTCTCATTAATTCTTGTTACATGCATGTATGTATATGCACATACATCTATATTCCTAAATGTAACCTTCCCAGTCTGTATAATGCTATGTGTATGTGTATGTATGTTTAGGGCTGACCATTTGGTATTGGATAACTAATTCATGTGCTGTCCCATGAGTAAGACTATTTCCCCCACGCTCAGCTCTCCTTAGTTGTCTACGGTTCTCTGCGTAGGTTTACACTTTGTGGTCTCCCCCCGCCAATCATTTTTGTATATAACTATTGTTGTTGTCCTTGTTGGGCTCATGTTTAGGCAGTCATGTTGCTGAAGCCGTGTGGGTGAGGCTTCTGACATAACTAGGAGACATGGTCTCACAGCAACTTCCCTCATCCTTTGGCTCTTAAGTCTCTCTCCCCCATCTTCCAAAATACGCTCTGAGCATTAGCTGTGGGCGATGTCTTAATGATGTATCTATTTGGGCTGGGAACTACAACTCTGCGTTTTGATCCATTGTAGTTTTCTATCACGGTCTCTGTTTCAAAGAGAAGTTTACAAGATCAGGGGTGAGCACCACACTTACCTGTGGGGATAAGGACCATATTAGAATGTAGTTACCGAGTGTGCTGGACCACGCACTGAGGCCAGGGTGATAATGTTCTTTTATTCAAGAAACCTGGGAAGAGAGTGGTTCAAAGGAAACCAGACTGATTTGAAAGTCTTCTGTTCAGAAATGAAATTGGGGGATGGAGAGAAGAAAAGGATGGTAGGCTTCCAGCCCTATCACGTTCTAGAAGACTGGGTGCTGATAGCACAGACACTATCTTCAGGGCTGAAGTGAGCTCCCCGGCCTGTGTGCAAATTCCTATTTTTTTCTTAATTAAAAACTTCCGTTTATTTTACATCCTGACTGAAGCTTCCCCTTTGCCCTCCAACCATCCCCTCCCCTTGGCCTGCCTCCCCAGTTCACACCAGGCCTCCCATAGCTGCCAGCAAAGCAAACCATATCAAGTTGACATCGGACTAAGCTCCTTGTAGTAAGGCTGGGCGAGGCAACCCAGTATGAGGAATAGTTTCCTAAGAGCCAGACAAAGTTAGGGATGCTTCCACTGCCAGGGGTCTCACTGGTAGAGCAACCACACAACCATCACACATATGCAGAGGGCCTAGGTTGGTCCCATGCAGGCTGCCTAGCCATCAATCCATGGCTGTGAGAGCCCATGAGCAGGCCAGTGGCTTCTGTGGGTTCCCTTGTGATGACCCTAACACCCTCTGGCTGCTATAACCCTTTCTCTCTCTATTCTATAGGCTTGACCCGATGCTTGGCTGTGGATCTTGGCATCTGTTTCCATCAGTCACTGGATGAAGGCTCTCTGATTACAACTGGGGTAGTCACCCATCTGATTACAGGAGGTGTCCAGTTCGGGCCACCTATAAACGATTGCTATAGGTTTTAACTAGGGTCATCCTTGTAGATTTGTGGGAAATGCTTGTATCAGGTTTCTATCTAACTCTGGAATGTACCTCCATCAGGGTTATCTCGTTCATTACTCCTCTCCCCCATCCACCCCGGTCCCTCCTGCTCCCGTTCCTACCTGCCTGCGGTCTACCCAGGACATCTCTGTTTCACATTCCCAGGGAAACCCATGCATCCCTCCTTCGATCCTCATTACTTAGCCTCTCTAGGGCTGTGCACTGTAGCATGGTTACCCTGTACAGCTAGAATCCACTTGTGAGTGAGTGCATACCACGTCTGTCTTTCCGGGTATGGTTACCTCACTCAAGATGAGGTTTTTTTCTAGTTCCTGATGTCACCATGCTTAATAGCTGAGTAATACTCCACTGTGTAAATGTACCACACTTTTGACAGGCGTGTCAAAGTGTGGTGGCGCACACTTTTAATCCCAGCACTCGGGAGGCAGAGGCAGAGCTCTGTGAGTTTGAGGCCAGCCTGATCTACAGAGTGAGTTCCAGGACAAGCTCCAAAGCTACAGAGAAACCCTGTCTCGAAAAACCAAAAAAAAAAAAAGGGCCACATTTCTTTATTCATTCTTCGGTTGAGGGGCGTCTAGGTTGTTTCCAGGTTCTGGCTATTATGAATACTGCTGCTGTGAACATAGTTGAGCAAGTGTCCTGTGGTATGATTGGGCATCCCTTAGGTATATGCCCAAGAGTCGTATAGCTGGGTCTTGAGGTAGATTGAGTCCCAGTTTTCTGAGAAATTGCTATTTTGATTTCCAGAGTGGCTGTGCAAGTTTGCTCTCCCACCAACAGTGGAGGAGTGTTCCCCTTACTCCTCATCCTCTCCAGCATAAGCTGCTTCTTTTGTTTTTGATCTTGGCCTTTCTGGTGTAAGTTGGCCCCTCAGGGTAATTTTGATTTGCATTTCTCTGATGGCTAAGGATGATGAACATTTCTTCAAGTGTTTCTTGCCCATTTGAGACTCTTCTGTTGAGGTCCGTACCCCATTTTAAAATTGGATTATTTGTTTTTGTGACGTCTAGCTTCCTGACTTTATATGTAATATTTTGGAGGTCAGCCGTCTGTTAGATGTGGGGCTGGTGAAGATCTTTATCCACTCTGTGGGCTGCTGTTTGGTCTTGTTGACGGTGTCCTGTGCCCTTCAGGAGATTTTCAGTTTCAAGGGGTCCGATTTATTAGTTGTTGCTCTCAGTGTCTGTGCTACTGGTGTTATGTTCAGGAAGTGCTCTCCTGTGCCTGTGTGCTCAAGGCTATTTCCCGCCTTCTATTATATCAGGTTCAATGTAACTGGATTTGCATTGAGGTCCTTGAAACATTTGGACTTGAATTTTGTTCAGGGCGACAGATATGGATCTATTTGCATTTGTCTATAAGCCGACATCCAGTTATGATGGCACCATTTGTTGAAGATGCTTTCCCCTACCGCCTCCCCTGTATAATTTTGGCTTATTTGTCAAAAATCAGATGTTCATAGGTATGTGGACTTATATCAGGGTCTTTGACTTGATTCCATTGATCCACCTGTCGGTTTTTATGCCAATACTATGCTGTTTTTATTACTGTAGCTCTGTAGTAGAGCTTGGGTCCAGTGATGATGATGCCTCCCACAGTTCCTTTACTGTACAGGATTATTTTAGCTACCCTGTTTTGTTTTTGTTTTTTTTCCATATGAAGTTGAGTATTGTTCTTTCAAGGTCTGTAAAGAGCAAGTTCCTCTTTTATTTCTTTTAAAGATCTATTTATTTATTTATTTTACCTATGACTGCTCTATCTTCATGGTAGAAGAGGGCATCAGATCCCACTATAGAAGGTTGTGAGCTACCATGTGGTTGCTAGGAATTGAACTCAGGACATGTAGAAGAGCTCTTAGCCTCCAAAGTCCTCTTTTAACTTGAAGGTGGTGGTGGTGGTAGTGCTGGTGTGTGTGTGTGTGTGTGTGTACACGCACGCCTGTGTGTAGTTGTATGTTCCTGCGCATAGGTAGGCAAGAGGACACCCTAAGTGTTGTTGATAAATATTGTTCCTTGGGTGCAATTAACCTTTTTAAACTCTGAAAGTTGGTTTTCCTTATGCTGGCAAAAATGAGCACCACTTTTGAAAAAGCTTGTGGTGCAAATTTTGATTCTCCTACTCTATGCGTGATCCTAGAAATGCATCTTCCGAAGTTGGTGCCATCCGATTGTAGGTTTGCTCTCTTGTTCTTTCTGAGTCAAGCTTATTGGCCAGTATAAACTGTAGCTATAATCAGGTCCAACATGAAACATGTCTCTTCCTTCAGGATGGATGCAGAAGAGGTGGTCAGTGCCTTATTCACACATGGTTTTCTGTTTCTTTCATCCAGGCGAAATTGAGAGATGCACTTACATCAAGTACCACTACTCCTCAGCAACAATCCCCAGGAACCTCACATTCAACATCACCAAGACCATTCGCCAGGATGAGTGGCATGCCCTGCGTAAGTACAACTGCGTCTTTTTGGCTGTGACTCTGCTGTGCTGTCACTGGGAGGGCTTGGGGGAAGGGGGTTGTACATACATTCTGAGATCTCTGGATGATCTCAGAACATTGGCATGGATCTACTAGCTATGATGACCCACATCTATGGGTCAGAACTGCCTGAGTTGGTACCGATTGCATTGTGGATTTGTAGAGTTTGTTTTAGATTTAAAAAGACCAAGCCAACCAAACAAAACTCAAACCACTATCAGTTAGACAGTGATCTTAATTCCTTCTTCGGGTAGGCATCTGAAATTTCACCTACCCGATGGGATCTGCTCCTGGGACTTAACTCCAGCACATCTCCAAGTTGCTTGAAATATTATTGTGGCAACCTGCTAGTCCCCTGTGTTGTTATTTGTAAAGGGTGAGGCATGCTCATGGGTTCAGGCTGTACCTAGGGGATCTGCACCTAGCGGGAGGTCATTAAGCAGGAGGGTTGGCTCTGATTACAAGCTTCTGTGTGCCTCCAAATGGTAGCAGCTGGCTCATGTGTGATCCCTCAGCAAAGAACTAAATATCTATGCCTATTGGTTTGGGAATTTCTAGTCTAGCAACCCTTAGAGACTTGCATTACAAATGAGAGAGTGACTTAACGAGCAAACAGAGATAGTTAGCTATTTTTACACTTCTTCTCCATGGGAATCCATTGCCTGTAGGTGGCCAGAGAGCTCACTCTCACTGCTGGCCCCATCCTTAATGTTGACCTTTCCATCCATCCTGCGAGGAAGCATGGCATACTTCTGTTGGGTTTCCCAGCTCTTCTCCGTATATCATTTCCTCACTCAGCATCCAAAGGATCGGACTCGGTTTGTAGCTACATAAACATGAGCATTCTTTTAGCACACCCCTGATAGCTAGACTTCCTTAGTGGATGAACCCTGAGGAAGACAGTTCTGAAGGCTGGAACGTTCTTTTCTGTCTTCGTTGCTCTCTTATTACCTGGTTATCGTTGCATGCACAGAGCCCACAGTGTGCTGCCTGCTTCTAGGCACTGGCAGCTCGGAGTGGCGAATGGAGATATGAAAGAGAGGGAGTAAAATTAAAACAGAGCAGCCACTGGTTTCACCGGGGAAAACACACAAAACTCGGTGTCCACATGATGGCGTCTCAATGTTCCCGGTCTGCAGTGACGGAGCAGGTGCCCGAGGATGGCCCTGCAAACCACACTGTTGTCACTTTAGAGATACTAGTAGCATGTGTGGGGACAGAGAGCCAGTGTTCGAAGAGAGTTCCCATGTGCTACCCATTGAGTTAAGTATGTCGCATACATATTTAATTTTACCATGAGATTGGCCTCAGAGACTCTAGTAATTGGGGTTATTAATTTCTTTTGGATGGTTGGCATGGAAGACTCCAAATATAGAAATATATGGTGATAATTTCCAATTTCTCACAATACAACAGTCTAGCTCTTAAAGGGATGGATGTTCAAGGTGCATAAATCTTGATGATTAGCCGTACAAGTATAATAGATTCTGGGATTCATAATAAGAGTCAAAATCTAAGAAAGAGGAAAAAAATTACTGACATTGCCAATTCAAGTGGACTCGGTCTGTCTTAAGTCCCTGAGTTTCTCTACATACCAGGCATGAACTGGGTATCAAGGCCATGGGGAGTTCTTTTAAGGAGCTAGAGTCTGGGGGATGGAGAAGGGTGGGGTTGAAGAGAGGCATTCACAAAGCAAATAATTACAAAGCAATGTGATAATTACCACATAGTAGAATTGCTTCAAGCAATTAAAATAGTTTGTGGGTTTTTTTTTTTTTTTTGTTTTTGTTTTTCAGCTAGAAGGAGAATGACTTCAGTGTAAATTGCAGATGTTTCAAGGGAAAGCCTGTGGACTCCATTGGCTGTGGCCAGGGTAGATGCCTAGAGTTGCAAGAGATTTCCTATCATGCCATTCTTGGAAGTATGCCACATGGCATCGAGAGAGAGAGAGAGAGAGAGAGAGAGAGAGAGCTTTGTAGGGGTCCTCTTTGAGCTCTGTGTGTCTCCAGGGTGCTCATTCTCCAACTGTAGTGCTGCTGGGTTCTGAAAAATCTAGCAGGCAGCTTCTGTAGCCATGCAGTGTGCTGACTTCTATTTTTAACGAATCAAAGCCTTTTCGATGATTGATACATGCAAGGTCTCTAGCCCATGGTGGTGGGTGAAGTTGATGCTCCCCTTTGGTGACGGATTCATTTTCCTCTTTCATGAAGTCGCCTAATGGGCTATTAAGCTGGCAGAGAGCATTTGCCGTGCCTGACATCGATGACAGCTATTTTAAGCCAGAGGGCGAGTGAGCATCTGTCACAACTGAAGCTGGTCCTGAGCATAACTGGTAATGCTGGCATGATGGGGAGGTATGGTCTGTGTCCATGTTAGTTCTCAGATTTTGATGACACGAGGTAGGAAATGGGCGCAAAAGCCTATTTTGAAAGATAGTGGAAGAAATTAAACATTAGGAAACTCCTGTGGTCAGCTCTGAAAAACGTGGGAAGACCCCCCCCACCCCCAACATGATTTCCTGGGCTGGGGACAGGGCCCAGTGGTAGAGCACTTACCTAACCAATATATGCAGTATTTATCCCTACAACTGGGAAAATAAATCCCACACCAATTTCTTAACATCATTGTGTGCTTCAGTAATCTAAAGGGGACAAAATAAATGTGTCAGGTTATCATTTTGTAATTTGACCTTAGTATCTTATGCGTTGTAATTTTGCTCAGATAGTTTTTTTCTTAGAGGAAAAAATAGGATGGGGGGGGGCTTGTAATGTCTTTGTTATGAAATAACAAAGCAAACATTCGAAGTTTGGTTCACTTTGGGTCACATGCTGTTCATTGGGAATTGGCATGTGGCCAGATCACTGATCCCTGTTAAAAAAGAAGAAGAAGAAGAGAGGAGGAGGAGAAGGAAGAAGGAAGAAGGAGGAAGGAGGAAGGAAGAAGAGGAAGGAGGAAGGAGGAAGGAAGAAGAGGAAGGAGGAAGGAGGAAGGAAGAAGAGGAAGGAGGAAGGAGGAAGGAGGAAAGAAGAAGGAGGAAGGAGGAGGAAGGAGGAAGGAGGAAGGAGGAAGGAGGAAGAAGAAGGAAGGAGGAAGGAGGAAGGAGGAAGGAAGAAGGAGGAAGAAGAAGGAAGGAGGAAGGAGGAAGGAGGAAGGAAGAAGGTGGAAGGAGGAAGAAGAAGGAGGAAGGAGGAAGGAGGAAGGAAGAAGGAAGAAGGAGGAAGAAGGTGGAAGGAGGAAGGAGGAGGAGGAGGAAGGAGGAAGAGGAAGAAGGAAGAAGGAAGAAGGAAGAAGAAGGAGGAAGGAGGAAGAAGAAGGAGGAAGGAGGAAGAAGGAAGAAGAAGGCCCCAAATTGTTTTGGCTTAAAGCTATGTTATATGTTTTAAAAAGTTAGCCTCACCAATGCAAAGCCTCACTGTAGGACCCGGCTCCCCATCTCACGCTTGCTGCGTGAATGGCAGGCGAAGGATAAAGTACCCTGTAGGGCACTGTGCTCCCAGATCCCGGTGTGTAAAAGGCTGGAGTGCATGCTTATGTGTGCACAGGGCAGGGGATACCGGTGCGGTCTTCATGTGCCAGTGTTGTGGGTGAGTTGTGACAGCGCTCTGAGCCTGGCTTGGATGGCAAGGGTTAGTGAGGTCTCATGGGAGCCCTCCCCACGGCTCCCTGTTACTGTGAGCAATGGCAGGGCTCTTTGTGGAGCCGCACTCTGTGCCCTTGGTCCGCCTAAGCCTGGCTGTCCTTCAGGGTTGTCAACTCCATTTATCCAGCTGTCCAGGTGGGTAGCAGGGGGCAGGCAGCCGCCGCCTCTGTGCACTGTGCACTGTGGGTGCTCTGTCCCCCTCAGTCAGATCTCCTGCCATTTCCAGGGTGGGAGCAGGACAGGATAGTGTCACAGGCCATCAAGGAGTGGACAGTGGCCTCAGGAGATGAACTTAGCAAATGCCACTGTTAGGATCCCTTGTCTGGTTTAATACTCTGTACGAGATAGAATCTGATAGCCAGTGGCCAGGCGAAGCTGTCTGGCACCGAGGTGTCGTTGTGATATCTCTTCCCTGCCCTCTTACCGGAATCCACCCCTGTGGGCTTTGCACAACCCGTGGTCCAGTCAGAGGGGCAACACTTGTATGGTGGGTCTGTGTCCTCAAGTAACCCCCCCCCACCTCCCGTAACCCCGGAGGCCACCCCAAATGGCTCTACCCTTGCCTGTCATTATGTCCTCTCATCTGTCTGCACAGCCAGGGTCCTGAACCCTTGCTCAGGGATAGCAAGGGCAGAGGATGGGTGGGTGGGTGCGTGGTCCCAGCAGCAGGATTGGGCCGCAGAGGCACGGTGGCAGAAGCTGCAAGGCAGAGCTGAGAGGCTTCACCCTCTTGACTCAGACTTCCTGATCTACCTGACAGGGACTCAGTGGGCAGCTGTGCCTGAGGTCCCCAGCTGAGAGCCCCGAGAGACTCAATCAGTGCGTCTGTGAGCTCACCTTCGTTCTGTAGGCATCTAAGAGAGAGGCTTCCGCTCACGGTTGGTTGGTTGCCCCTGGTAGTGAAGCTCAAGGTGCTGGGACTCCACTCCTGAAATCAGATCTTCTTTGTTATCTTTGGAGAGCCTGAGAGCCAAGGAAACTAGATATTTTTTTTTTCTTGAAGTTTCCTCCTGTCAGAACTGAGGGTTTAACCCTGCGCTTTTCCAGCTGGCTGTGAGGGAGCAGGCGGTGGGGAGGAGAGGGGAAGGTGAAGGGGAGGGAACACATCCCTCTAGTCACCTCCTGGCCTCAGGCTACAACCACACCAGACATGGGCTCGCACACAGCGGCCTTGAAGCTATGCCCCAGGTACTTAGAACACGACACAAGGCTTGTGTGGGAGCCCTGCACCCTTGTCCCGTGTTTAACCACCTCATCGGTGTGATCGAGGGCGTTTGTGCCACAGTGATCCGTGCTGCAGCTAGGTGTGCAGAGAACGTCCAGCCTGTCTCAGGGAGCGAGGAGAGAGAAGAGGAAGGAGGGAGGAGACGGAGACAGAGATGGAGATCTGGACTTCCACAGGAGACAAGGCATTATAGTCGGCCGTTGTGTAGTTAATTCCCGGGAATTGAAACATCCATCCTGGAGGGAAGAGAGGGGCTCATGCAACTTATCAGGCTTAGGGAGCTCAGGAAGTTACAAGATTTACCCGGTTTATATAAGCAGCACCAATTGCTTCCGAAAGGAGCGGTTCCCATGGTCAGAGCTGCCTGCGGGCTGTGCGGGGAGGGAACTCCAGGGACGCAGGTTTGTGAGTTGTCATCTATGCTGGGGTGAACTTTTCAGGGACGCAGCCGCCTGCGAGTCACCCGTGCTCGACTAAGTAACTCCTCGCCTGTGCTGCTACAGGTAACCCCAAATTGTCATACGGGCACACTAAGCTAGGCTTGGGTAGACCGCTTTGCTGTCAGCACCCCATGTGGGGTGAATGCGTGTTTGTTCTCGATCCCCCACAAACAGCCAGACAGCCCACACCTACTGCTAAGAGAGTCCAGAAATCGGAGCTCAGAGAGCTGCTTGCTCACAGCAGACACCAAATGGCTGCTCAGTTCTTCAAAGCTCTTATAGGTCAGCTCAGTCTTGGGGGCCCAGCCCTGCCCAGGCTCGGCTCGTATGTGGGGAGATGCTGCGATGGTACTTATATCCCTGTGTGGGCCACACCGGGCCCACCTCACCTGGCCGCTCTGTGTGTCCTCTCCTTCCCTGCCCTTCCCGCCTCCTAGAATGGACCTCCGTCTTCCTCAGGGGGGTTGCCGGCTCCCTCTGTGGTTTTGGCCTTGTGGCCTCAGACTTAACGTTAGTTCTTTGCTTATTGGCACCGGGCTTTCAATGGCAACTGGATCCAGCCGGATTCATCTGTAAACAGCTTCTTCTCCAGTCTTTTCCTTCTACCTAGATGTTGCAGACTTCCCCATCTCAGAGCAGGCCCAACTCCTGGCCCTGTATTTGCCTGTGTCTTAAGGATTTCAAAGTACATCCATGCAACTGTAACCATCTCCTTACTGTTGAGTAAGACCCTGAAAAAAATAATAAATGTATAAAATGCTATCCAGGGAGGGTCAAGTGGTTCATCAGATTAGGGGGACGTGCTTTGTGGCTAAATCCCGACTGGGGTTAAAGACGCTCATCTGAGCATGGTGAGGTAGATGTTGTGGATCAAGGGCCCTCATCACCCCTTTGTTCACACGGGCTGTGGTGTTACGCTGTTTCCTCAGGGTAATCGGGCCTGCTGCTGTTGCTGTGGCTCCTATGCAGCTAAAGTATCCAGGCCAGGGAGCAAGGAGCTACCCAGAGATCCATCTCAGCCTCAAAGGTGCCTCAGAGTGAAAGCTCAGAATCCACGCCTGAACTTTGACCCCCTGGCAATTTTTTTTCTTTCATTTCTGTTTTTGGCTTATGCTGTGGAAAACAGTCTGATGAGGTAAACATCCCAGATGTCGGAATCTGAGGTCCCCTGCGGTGCCAGCCCGGGGGTGGGGTGGGTGGGTGGGTGGTGGTGTCTCCTGCTTCTGCTTTCTGTGCCCAGCCAGTGCTAGGTTCTGACTGTGTGCAATCTGTTGTGAGCCATCTTTTGCTTGCAAGAGTAGCATCCAGAGGGGCCCTGAGGAGCAAGAAACCATCTCTGGAATTGGGAAAGCTCCATGGCACAGAAATCCAACCAACAGAGCCTTGCTGTGTGTTGCCTGGTAACGAAAAGTCCTTGCCTTCTGCAAACCTTTGCATGGCTCTCTGCCTCAGATCCTGCAGGGAACGCTGTAAACCATTTGGGACATCCAGACAGCCTGCAGCCCAGAGGCTGCCTTGAGTCTGCTCTCCCAGAACCCCTGTGGTGACTGCAGCAAGCCAGGCAGAGAGCAGAGAGCACAAACCCTTTAATAGGACATTGTACCTAGGCCTTAGACCCCTCCTTTCGGCAGGGGCAGCTCTCCTGTCTGTTCAGATGAGCGTCTTTACTCCACTCTCGGGATTTTTGCCATAAAGCAGGTCCCCCTAATCTGATGAACCCCTGGACCTTCCCTGGATAGCATTTTATACATCTAATTTTTTCAGGGTCTTACTCAACAGTGAAGAGATGGTTACAGTTGCATGGATGTACTTTGAAATCCTTAAGACACACACAACGACAGATTTACCTGCTTAGCTAGTTGGTCTGGTAAAAGCCAGTGCTGAAAACGGGCAAGAGTTTGTTTCCGAGGGGACGAGAAGGGCAGAGGTGTGGAGTGGAGTAGCTTCTATGTACTGAAAAACACCTGGGATCTATTGTGCTGGCGTAGCTGCAGCCACAAGTCATCTGGATGTGCAGGTTCAATTTTGCTCTACAAATTAGTCAGAAGTTTGGCCTGGAGGCATTCTCACAGCTTCTGCAGATTGGAACTTGTTTTCTGCTGGCTGAGTAGGCTGCTCTATGCCACGGGTGTGTGTGTGTGTGTGGGGGGGTGGGTGTGTGTGTGGGTGTGTGTGTGTGTGGGGTGTGTGTGTGTGTGTGTGTGTGTGTGTGGGTGTGTGGGTGTGTGGGTGTGTGTGGGTGTGTGGGTGTGCGTGTGTGTGTGTGTGTGTGTGGGTGGGTGTGTGTGTGGGTGTGTGGGTGTGTGTGGGGGGACCGGGAACAGCCCCCTGGCCTCCCTCATCCATTTGATCATTTACTCATGTAGTATCCGTAGTGTGCGTTTGCTGTGAGAGTCCCCATGTTTGGCACTAGAGAAGATATTAAAATGTATTCTGCTTCCCAAATTGGATGATATACTTCTAGGTGCTGGCCAGGCAAGGGACCAAACTGCTTATTTGGTGTTTATTGACTATAAAATGCACAGGACAGTGTTGCCAATTTATATACATATCATGGGTCCCAATTTCCATACTAAAATCAGCAAGGTTTCATTGTGGGGGAAATAAAAGCAAAATTTAACTCAAGATTACCAGATCATAGAGGCGTGAAACCCGGGGGGACTGTGTTGGATCTGTCTGTCTTACCATGCTTGTGGGAGCTGTCCAAGCTCTGGGTGCTGACAAGGAGGCTCAGTAGTGTAAGTAAATCTTCCCAACAGTTAAGCCAACCAAAGCTCAGCATCCAGCATTTGTTGATACAGTGATGAGGGGAAGGTGCTTGGTGCTGGCTGAGTGTGCCAGCACCAAGGACAGCTCAGAAATGGATCGCAGCAGCAAGATGTGGGTCTAGGCAAGCATACTTCAGGCATGAAGGCCAGGGCAGAGAGTAGGAAATCATAGGTGTGACTGAAGGATTTGGGACATGGTTCAATCTAAAGGGAATAAAGTCCTAGCTTTCCAAGAAACCCGAAGTATTAAAGAAAAATACGTAGCAGAAAATAGTGTCCAGGAAAAAACTGGGGTACACAGGGTTTGCTATGCCCACAAGAGGATGTAAGGCCACTTTGGTCAGAGCACAGTTCCAATTGCCACTGGGTTTGGTGATGGGATTGGGGAAAGAGGTTCTGAATGTGGCAGATTCCTAGGTCCCAGACCAGACACCGAACTGGAAAGTCCAGGATGGGTCCCAGGATCCTGTGTGATCCTTTAACACATTTAGGGTGGGGTACGCTGTGGGCTGTTCTGGTCAGAGGTGGCTTGGGGCAGAAGGGAGCATGGACCCTGGGGTCTGGGAGATGGGGCTTGCTTTATATTGTGTCCTCTCACATGGGCTGTCTGGTATGGGTGTGTAACTTTGGGGATTTAGTTCCTGTCCATTCATGGATGAGAAGTGGATTTCCTTTATTTAAAAAAAATATATATATATATATATATATATATATTATGTGTTTAAATACCTGGCCTCAAATCTCTGTCCTGGATCTACAGAGCACTAAATCACTCAGAAGTGGGTTTCACGCTGGGACACTGTGTTGAATTCGGGTTCTGCTGCATCTTTAGATATTTGACCCCAGGCAAACAGTTTCAAGTTGTATTGAACCCAGTACATGCCATCTTAAAAACCGAGGCAGTAATTCCTGCCTGGAGACTTATTATAAGGTTTAAATGGAATAAAACGATTCACGAAAGATCTTTTGGTAACTGCACAGAGTCTGATGCCAGCAGTATTAGATGCTTTAATGTTGGAACCAAGGCGGTATCCTAGGCACTGAGGTCCAGTGGTTCTTCTGTTATACTCAGGGAAGCCTGCACGCATGGGCTTGGCTTGCATGAGGCTGTGCGAGTTGTCCGCCGTAGATCTGCTGTCTATACAGGTGTGTATACTGGGAGCTCACATCAGATGTGGATGGCGTGGGAGTGGGAAATGGCTGAAGAGTGTTTCAGATCCTCAGTGGGATGGCAGCAGCCCTTAATTTATGAGTTGTATCTAATAAGAGTGCTGTTTAGACAGCAACATGCTTCTGAGGGAAGATTTATGTACTCAGTGTCTAAAACGCAGCATTTCTGAGCTCTGAAGACAAACACAACGTAAGTGCTTTTGTAGTGAAATTGTCTAGGCTCTTGAGAAAGCTTTCGCCTTCCTGCTGGATCACTGCCCCGCCTTCCAGGAGGATGTGTGTGTTTTTCATAGGTCCCATGAAAACGTGAAAGCAGAGGAGGGTCCTGGAGAACACCGGCTTCTTAGAGAAGGCCTGCGGAAGTATGCAGGGTCAGAGGTGGGGTAGCACTGCGGAGGGGATGCTCTTTATTTGCAGACTCCTCCCCCTCCGCCCTCCGTGGTCCACAGGGCTGGTCTTGGCTGTGAGAGTGGCTTCTGCCCATTTGAGTTGCTTAGTGAGAAGGGACCAAGATTACAGGGTGATGGGTTGCCTTGCAGATTGTCTCTGAGCTACGGTGGCTTTGGGAAGTGCTCCCTTCCTGTCTTTCCCTGGTGTTGAGTTCTAATGTGAACTAGGAGGCCACGGTTAGCCAAGAGGCTTGCATGGTTCCAGGTCGTTGTGGCATCCCTGAAGTAGTTGTTCGTGGAACCTGGCCTAGAGGTCTTGAGAGAGGGAATACAGTCTTAATGGATTCTGGCTTGCTTCTCTCTCTATGCATGTATGCCTCAGACTATACTCCATGGAAGTTAGTGTAGAATACACCGAGGCATTATTAGATCCCTCCAAACTCAATATTCCACTTGGCACCGCTAATCAAGTTTCCTGCTCTGACAAGTGTCTTTACTGCCTAACATGGTAGTCACAAACCACATATGGCTAGTACTTGGGATATGACTACTTCACAAAAAAGATGCGAGACTAGGAGGGAGACTCACTGGGCAGAATGGGAAGAGGCAGGAGGGTGGGAGAGAAAGGGTAGTGTGTGTGTGTATGTGTGTGTGTGTGTGTGTGTGTGTGTGTTAACAAAAATGCTAGTATTAAATGGTCAAAGAATTACAAAAGAAAAGAGGTGCCACTACTTTAACCA